CATATTTTATCATGTTTTTAACATGTTTTAGCATGTTGCAACATATTTCAGCACATTTAACATAAAAAACACTTTAGCATGTTTCGACATATTTTATCATGTTTTAACATGTTTTAGCATGTTTCAACATATTTAGCTCTTTTAGCATAAAAAAATACATTATAGTGTTTCAACATATTTTAGCATGTTTTTAACATGTTTTAGCAAGTTTCAACATATCTTAGCTCTTTTAGCATAAAACAAAAATACATTAGCATTTTTCAACATATTTCAGCATGTTTCAACATATTTGAGCTGTTTTAGCATTAAATAAAAATACATTAGCATGTTTTAAAATATTTTATCATGTTTTTAACATGTTTTAGCATGTTTCAACATATTTTAGCTTTTTGAACCATTAAACAAAAATACATTAGCATGTTTTAAAATATTATATCATGTTTTTAACATGTTTTAGCATGTTTCAACATATTTGTACACATTTGAGCATGTTGTTAGCATGGTATTGCAGGTTTCGCAATTTGTTGCCCAAAGGTTTTAGAATTTTATTAGAATGCTATAACATTTTGATTTGATTTGATTAATTTATTTTCGAACAAAAAAATGATACATAAAATGTCATTACAAAAAGAAATACATTTCAACATGGTCGAAAATGGAGCGGGATGAAGCATAAGCTTATTATTCTCCCACCCCATTACCCCATACATCATTTATTTATTACTTAAACCTATTTATTCTTTTACCTATCTCTTTTTTTTACATGAAACAAATTTGATCCTTTTGGCATCTTTGAAAAATAATTTGTTTAATTCCATTTGTACCTTTTCATTTTGTAACAGACCCCAAAAAAAAGAAAAAAAAAATACATAGTACTGCAAATAAACAAAAAACAACAACAACAACAACCTAGTACTGCAAATTTTAGCTTCCTATCATCATGTTTTGACAATTAGCTAGGATGTTTTAACTGTGCTAGCATGTTCATCATTTCTATATTGTAAATAAAGCAATATAGCAAGAGTACATTAGCATGTTTCACCATATTTTAGCATGTATGTTTTGGCATGTTTTAGCATATTTTAACGTTTCAGCATTTATTTTTAGCAAGTTTTAACATATTTTAACATGTTTTATCATGTATTTACCACGTTTCAACATAATTGAGCATGTTGTTGGCATGCTATCGCAGTTTTCGCAATTTGTTGCCCTAGTGTTTTAGAATGTTATAAGCATGCTTTCACACTTGTGCTTGTTATTATGTTTTGACAATTACCAAGAATGTTTTAGCATTGCTAGCATGTTCATAATTTGTATATTGTTAAAAAAAAACTGTGGACTACAAGAAAATATAACAAAAATACATGAGCATGTTTCAACATATTTTAGCATGTTTTTAGCATGCTTTAGCATGTTTTTAGCATGTTTTAGCATAAAACAAAAATATATTACCATGTTACAACATGTTTGATCATGTTCTTATTTTGTCTAGCATGTTCATATTTTGTACCAAAAAAAAAAAAAAACTGTGGACTACAAGACAATATGACAAAAATACACCATAAATTTGAAATATATTTTATATTATATACATTCATGATGTACCTTTTTCCATTTCCTTGTAGTCCAAAGTTTATTGGTATGTATTTGTTTTTCGTAAGTTTTATTTCACTAATTAATTATTACTTTTATTCAGTTGTAGTTTTAAATATGTATTTTTTGCAGCCTTTTTTATTTTGTTATTTTGTTTTTCTTTGACATGCAGCAGCACAACATACAGCCATGTTGGCTCACAGTGCTGCAGTCGCTCTAATCTAAGGGGAAAAGCAGGCGACTCTGGGGCAGTTCTGTCAGTGTGAGATAAGAAAAAGCTTCGAGTGTAGATAAAACCCACAAACATATGCAATCACTTTCTGCTGGCTAAATCTATAAGCACGCACTTTTATACAGTATATGAACATGCATTTTAAACACATCAACAACTCATAAGGAAGCAAAATACTCTCATCTCCATCTATTCTTACCCACGTATCCTGGCGTCCCGCAGGCGGTGGACATGACATCCCCTGTCCCCTCCATCTTAGACAGGCCGAAGTCACTGATCATGATTTTTGAGCCGTCTTGAGGGTTGAAGTAGAGCAGATTCTCAGGCTGGAGTGAAAAACACACGTTAAAATGAAGCTAGTGGGAAAACTGTGTGTTTGTGTTGTGGGTGTGTTTGTTCACCTTCAGGTCTCGATGGACGATGCCCATAGTGTGGAGGTAGTTGACAGCATCCAGTACTTGTCTGATGAGTGTGCTGGCGTCTTTCTCTGTGTAAAACCCCTTCTCTACTATCCGGTCGAACAGCTCTCCTCCAGACACACTGCAAACAGAGCATTAAAAACTAAAAACACACATAACCAATTATATTTTTACTAATAGACACTATTATTTGGGATTGGTTAGATTTTATGTTTTTGAAAGTAGCCTCTTGAATTAACAGGATTTTTTTAGAGACGATTTTTTATCGCATACATACATTCATTCATTTATTTTCCTTCGGCTTAATTCCTTATTTAAAACTATTCCAGCATGTTTTATGCAGCGGATGCCCTTACAGCTGCATCCCAGTACTAAGAAACACCCATACACTCTCATTCACACTCATACACTACGGCCAATTTAGTTTATTCAATTCACCTACAGTATAGCGCATGTCTTTAAACTGTGGGGGAAACCGAAGCAAGCAACACAGGGAGAACATGGAAACGCCACACAGAAATGCCCACTGGCTCAGCCGGGACTCGAACCAGTGACCTTCTTGCTGTGAGGTGACAGTGCTAACCACTGAGCCACCATGCCGCCCTTATTGTACACAGTTTTAAATAAATACGTTAAATAAATGTGATTCTGCACCACAGAAGTGTCAATAATACAATAACGCTGTTTCCGGTGATGTGCATTTTGTTGGCTGGGCGACGCAGTGGCGCAGTAGGTAGTGCTCTTGCCTCACATCACGAAGGTCGCTGGTTCGAGCCTCGGCTGGCTCAGTTGGTGTTTCTGTGTGGAGTTTGCATGTTCTCCCTGCATTCGCGTGGGATTCCTCCAGGTGTTCTGATTTTCCCCACAGTCCAAAGACATGCGGTACAGCTGAATTGGGTAGGCTAAATTGTCCGTAGTGTATGTGTGTGAATGAGTGTGTGTGTGGATGTTTTCCAGAGGTTGGTTGCGGCTGGAAGGGCAACCACTGCTTAAAAGAATAAGTTGGCGGTTCATTCCGCTGTGGTGACCCTGGATTAATAAAGGCACTAAGCTGAATAGAAAATGAATAAATGAATGAATGAATATTAGGCTGAAAATCTGGAATCTGAGGGTTTCAAAATTGAAAATATCAAGAAAATCGTCTTTGAGTTGATAAATGAAGCTCTTAGTAATTCACAATACAGTAGGAAATTTACAAAACATCTTCATGAAACTTGATCTTTAATTCATATCCTAATGTTTTTGTCTTAAAAAAGTAAAATGGATCATTTTGTCACATACAATATACCCATGAAAAAATGTTCTTCTGCTCACCAACGTTACATTTGTTGGATAAAAAAATATATAATTTCAACTTGAAACAACCTTATAACAGTTATATATTCATATATTTTAAAAATATAACTTCAAGTTTTATATATATATATATATATATATATATATATATATATATATATATATATATATATATATACTATATATTTATGTGATTGACTTTTTAGCATTATTACTCATTACATGATCATAGTACAAAGATGCCCAAAGTAGGGCCCTCGGTCCATGGTGACCTTTTATTTGGCCCACCATCCCATCTGAAAAGAGAGAAAGAATGAGGGGGAGGTGGTTGGGGCAAATGCCTTTGTCAATTTAATGTGAATTGAATTGAATTGAATGATATTCATTTCGAATTTAACGTAACCTTTTGTTTCTTTATTTTATTGCAGAGCTACAAAAAAGATGAAATTAAATGATTCAAATGATTCATTTAAATACTGTAAATGAATCAGACTTTTAAAATGTTAATACTGTCAGCAAACTGCACAAGACATTTGCAAGCAAATCAAAGTAAGCTTGACTAGTGTATTGACTAGTGTAACAAACTGAACTTGTATTATAAATGGCATTGATTATGTTTTACTGTAATAAGCTCATTATAAATGCTACAAATTAAACTGCATTAGTTAATATGATTCAGAGCAACATTTTCTAGTTATTTATATATATATATATATATATTACAGAATAAATTAGAAAATTACAGATGGCAAAATTTAATATATAAGGTTTGATATATACTCAGCCCACAGCCCTTAGTCAAGTTTGCTTTTTGGCCCTTTATAGGAAAACGTTTGGGCACTCCGGTTGATTTGCTGCTCAGTTACAATCAATTAATGTTGGCAGAAAAATAAATCTTACCAATCCCAGACTTTCAAAGGATAATGTAAAATAAGCATTTTCTACACTCTACAAAAAGCAAGGGGGTAAGAGAGAAGTGAATGAAGTTCAAACACAAATATGGGTAATGAATGTGACGTCCTGTAGGGGGAGCTGCATATCGACAAACCCTCCTTAAGACAGGTGCAGAGCTGACCTGAGCTCAGTCTAAACCGTTTCATCTCAATAAGGACACATAAAGAGCTTCAGCACAGCTCAATGCCGCCTGACCTCCATTAGTCAGTCATTCTTATGTAAATTCAAAATCTACTCCTCACGATTAGACAGAGCTGACCTCAGATCTGCAGACAAGAGCATTGGTGCAGTTCAAGATCATGATTGCTGGGGGTCTTTTATTGGCTGTGGGTTGACAAGGGGTTGTTTGTAAACCCTTGAGGCTGTAGCGTCCTCTTCTGGATGGGGATTCAATGAAAACACAGGCCCCGTTTAAAAGAAAAGTTCACGCAAAAATGACATTTCTGTTATTATATACTCATCCCTACACTTTCTCCAACCCCATTAGACTTTCTTCCTTCTGTTGAACGCAAAAGAAGATATTTTAAAGCAAGCTGGCAACCTGTCACCATTGACCTCCATATACATATTACAAGCATGCCTGTTTCCTACTATGGCAGTCAATGGTTACAGGTTTTTAGCTTTCTTCTTTTGTGTTCAATATGAATTCGTACAGCTTCAGAACCACTTGAGAGTAAGAAAATATTTAAAGGGATAGTTCACACAAAAATGAATATCTATTTTTTCTTTAAAAACTTTTCCTTTGACTTAGTATCTCATCTATACATAAATATATATAAATAATTTACACTTTTCACAAATGATTATCAACATAGGCTGAGTATTATAAATAAGTTACAAATAAAAAAGTAAACAACTAAAAGAAGGATTAGTATAGGCCAGAAATTTATCATTTACTGCATATAATTGTAATAAATAATAATAATTTTGAATCAATGCATGTTTGCAATTTTCCAGTGTCAAGGTGTCCGCGGCGTCTCAAAAAGTGTTAAAAGTCGATAACTTAATTTAGAGAAATTTAAGGGCCTTAAAAAGTATTGAAAAGTCTTGAAATAAATTTAACAAGGTATTCATTTTGTATAATTTTTATCATTTATGTCAAAAATGTAATTTATAGTTTGCAAAAAATTTGCCTAATTTTAATCTGCAAATATTACTATTATATTATTATATTATTTATTTATTTTCAATTTCTAAAAATCTAATATATGAAATTAGCCAATTTGCTAAATCTGAGTTTAACGTTTCATTAATTCATTTACAACTGAAAGAATTGGTTGAAATCTTTTAAACTGGTCTAGTGTTTATTGTTTTGTATTTCTCTTTCCTATTAACTTTTCATAAGGGGGTCTCCAGTCAAATAATTCTTTTGTTCTTTGTTGCCACCCTTCTGATTTACATTGCATTGAAGACAAGACACTGTGTATTTGTGCTTTCGTACAGTCAGTTAAGTTAAAATGTCGCCAATGTTACCAGTTAAAACCAAAAGTGTCGATGAGGTATTAAAATGTATGGAAAAGGTCTATTTGGATTTGGATCTCTGATTCCTGTATATACCATGAGCGTATATAAGACAAAACCCAGTATTAAAAACCCTTTTTTTATTACAGGAATATGTCTCACTTAAAGAAATCTCTTCATCTCCCAGCCTTGAAATCCGCAATACATAATCCTGCAATGCACATTGCTTATTTCATTTCCAAGCCTTCACTGACCCCAGACAGCACATACGTTATGATTACAGGAAACCTTTGCATTGGATTGAAACAGTAGAGAGACCTTTTGGCCGTGAATTGAGCCTCTCCTCTGTAATCAATGCATTTACAGCTCTCTGACGCAGTGTGCAAACGCCCTCCGTCTGTCCCCTTCTCTCCGTCCTCCCTTTACAGCCATAAATACTGTCATACACCATGGCAGAGGGGAAAAAAATGTCCATATCTCTAATCACAACACTTACAAACCCACAGAATTATGGAATGAGTTTCTAAAATGCGTCTGTAAGATCATACAGAAAAGCAGATTGGTACTGTTTAAATATTCATCTCAACACCATATGCCAAAATGTTCTTCATGTTTCTCTAACACACACACACACTCTCTCATACACATGGCACAGCCTATTAAGAAGGAAAAGAGGGGCAGGCTTTGGGCCAACTATCAAATTAACACGGCGGAATTCAAATTTGTATTTATTTCTCAGGCGAAATGAGGACGGAAAACGAATGTTTGTTTGGTCTAATCCTCCTGACTTCCCTCTCCTCAGCATCACAGCGTTCAGGGTTGAAATGAAATCAGAATTGACCTGGTTTTTTTTGCACTGTTGTCTTTGTAATCTCTCATCCAAATGTAATGACATCCTCCGCCCCTGAAACAAATTTCCTTTTTGGCCTGATGTCTACCGCCAACCACCTGTCATAGAAAGCACTTTACATGATCGAGTCCGAGTGTTTTCCGTCGCTAAACACAGACGTAATCATTCCTTGTTTCGGGACTCATAACCTATATCATGACCTCTGTTGAGGATTATTCCAGATTTCAATACGAGATTAATCAGCAGCGTAATGTTGACTAGCACAAGAAGAAATGTCTTTAAACAAAGCTTGAATCTGGATTATAGCGAGGCGTTTAAAATAGTCGGTAACAATGTACAATAACATTCCATTAGATGGTAGTTTGATAGCATTTATGTTGGTATTTAGCAATGTATGAACAATCATGGGGCCACACGGCTCCTGGTTTGAGCCTCGGCTGGGTCAGTTGGAATTTCTATGTGGAGTTTGCATGTTCTCCTTGTGTTCGCGTGGGTTTCCTCCGAGTGCTCTGGTTTCCTCCACAAGTCCAAAACATGTGGTATAGGTGAATTGGTTAAGCTAAATTGGCAGTAGTGTATGTGTGTGAAAGAGTGTGTATGGTGTTTCCCAGTGATGGGTTGCAGCTTGAAGGGCATCCGCTGCGTAAAACATATGCTGGGTAAGCTGGCGGTTCATTCCACTGTGGCGACCCCAGATTAATAAAGAGACTAAGTCAAAAAGAAAACGAATGAATGTATTGGTCATCGTTTGCTCATGTTAATAAATACAAGAGCTAATATTATCTGATGGACTACTGTTTTAAAGTCTTAGCAAATATTGACTTTTCAATAATTAGTGAAATACTAACAGGGGCTGGGACAGCATTTTCAATCGGGAAAAACGATATTGAAGGTCAGACCAAAGTAAATACCAATGTTTATGACAAGTTGGTGGGCCAGGCCTGAATCACGATGGCAGGCCAGATAGACCATCAGGCCACTGGGAAATGTCCCGGTGCTCCCTATGGCCAGTCCGCCCCTGAATACTAATATTGTGGATTACTAATATGTTGACTTTGTAAGATGTTTATTCTAATATAGTTAAAAATATATCTTTACATATTATTTTTATGTTTATTTTATTATGTTTTGTTATGATATAAAATCCAAATCCAAAGACTTGTGCTGTAGGCGAACTGAATAAGCTAAATTGGCCGTAGTGTATGTGTGTGAATGCAAGAGTGTATGAGTGTTTCCCAGTGTTGGGTTGTGGCAGGAAGGGCATCTGCTGCTTTAAACATATGCTGGAATAGTTGGCGGTTCATTCCGCTGTGGTGACCCCAGATTAATAAAGGGACCAAGTCGAAAAGAAAAAGAACGAATGTTTTAAAAAATATTATTTTTATTATTACTTTATCGGCTGCATCTATAAATAAAATTGAATCTTTTTCTGAATTCATTTACAAATTGATCGATAAATAAATCAATCATTTTAAAGTGTTTCTAGCGTTTTGAAAGTTTTGTTCTCTTTTAATTCTCAGCATTTGTATCTTGTATAAATATTGTATTTGTATTTTTGTACAATAATGTATTTTCTCTGTTATTTTTATAGATACTAAAATGTTAAAATGATTTTTTTTAAGTTCATTTTTATTTAAGTTGTTGATTTATATAAAAAAAAAAAAAGGGCATCACGTTGAAGGTCGCTGGTTCGAGCCTCGCCTGGGTCAGTAAGCATTTCTGTGTGGCATTTCTAAGCCGAAAAGAAAATGAATGAATGAATTTATAATAAAAAAACCTTATGCAATGTTTTACCTGTCTTTACCGTCACTTTTAACTCGCTTAAAGTTTTGTTCTACTAATTCTCTGCATTTTTATTTGATTTATTTTACAATTTTGATGTTTCCTCTCAAAAAGGTCAAAATGGACACTCATTATGAGAAATGCTCAATCATTCATTTTCTTTTGGTTTAGACTCTATTTCAGAGGTTGCCACAGTGGAATGAACCGCCAACTACTCCGGCACATGTTTTACACAGCGGATGCCCTTCAAGCCACTACCCACTATTGGAAAACACCCATACACTCTCACATTCACACACATACTCTACGGCTAATTTAATTTATTCAACTCTCCTATAGCGCAAGTCTTTGGACTGTGAGGGAAACCAGAGCACCCAGAGTAAACCCACGCCAACATGGGGAGAATATGCAAACTCCACACAGAAATGCCAACTGGCAGAGCTGGGACTTGAACCAGCGACCTTCTTACTGTTATTTCTTGCAAATCAATGTCAATGTGCAGCCTTACAAAGGATACTAAAAATGCCTTTATTAATAATTTATTTCAAATAAACAACGCTGAAGCAACGTTATACCATTTCTTATCATCACTTTTCCCCAAATGAATGCATCCTTGCTTATTAAAAATATTAATTCATGTAAATAATCCTCACATTATGCAAGCAATAATACATTATCAAATTCCACCCAAAATGTCTTTGCCTAGCAATAGTGGGCTCGTTTTTTCTGTTTAAATGCATGCAAGACACACTCCACAATGTCTCTGCATTTTCAGGAGTGTGTGTGACTGCAGTGTATGGACGTTGTGCTGGCCGTCACTGCTGTTACACAACTCTCCACGTCAGCAGTCAGTATACAGTACAGCAGCCAATTCACCAGACCTGCAGACTCTCTCTCTCTCTCTCTCTCTCTCTCTCTCTCTCTCTACGTCTGCGCACTCTCTCCAATGTCTTATCACTATACTGATTCACTTTTGAGCATTCATGTGTCAGAGCATTACACTCGCTGAAAGAAAAGCAGAAGTGAAGGACAGTGAAGTCACGTTAATACCTGAGCAAGTAAAACTGTCAGCTGCTGTTTAATCAGAGCAGACAATATGCTTTTTTTGAATACAGAAATGTCTGTAGAAAATGTCTTTAATATTCTCCTTTTCCTCTAGCGTTTGTGTGAGTATTAGATCTGCATGACTCACAAATGAGTCCTGTTATTTAAAATACTGACATGGTAAACAATTTCCTCTAATCACCGTCATCAATTGTTACTAAAATTAAAGATCAATTAATTGATTAACTGCTAACCTTAGTAATGGAAGCTGTGCCTGCTTCGGTGGCTCATTGTCATTGGTAATTAATCAGCTCTTGATGAGGTGGATCGATTTGAAGGATTCTTGAAAATTGATCATTCATTCATTCATTCATTCAATCAATCAATCATTAATTTATTCATTCATTCATTCATTCATTCATTCATTCATTCATTCATTCATTTATTCAATCAATCATTCATTTATTCATTCATTCATTCATTCAATCATTCATTTATTCATTCATTAATTCATTCAATCATTCATTCATTCATTCAATTATTCATTTATTCATTTATTCATTCATTCATTCATTCATTCAATCAATCAATCAATCAATCAATCAATCAATCATTCATTCATTCAATCATTCATTCATTCATTCATTCATTTATTCAATCAATCAATCAATCAATCAATCAATCAATCATTCATTCATTCATTCAATCAATCAATCATTCATTCATTCATTCATTCATTCAGTCGACTATTTGTTCCTACTATGGATGTTAATGGTTACCAGTTTAAAATGGCTTCTTTTGTTTTCAACAAAAATGACCTCTCTCTTGCGCTCTCTGACCCTTAGACTCAAACAGCCTGTTTCTGCTACTGTGCTTTTAAGACTTCAGTATGTAAATGGCGTGTGTTATGATGGGCTAACCTCTTTGCGTGTGAAATGAGTTAAGGACGCCTCCACTAGATTGTGGAATACTGATTAGTAAATGACGACGTGGGTGGTAATATAATAAAGGCACAGTTCACTCAATACTGAAATGACTGCAAATGATAATGGAGCACATGTAGACGCCATGTTTGATTTGTAATCATGCGGTGGAATGGAAGATTACTACGAAATATGGATTCATTTTTTGGGATGAACTTTGCCTGCAAGATGTTCAAAGCCTTGCATTATGCGTTGAACTAATTTAAAAATAAGTAATTGACAAATAAAGATTGATCGCTATGATAGAAAATCATAGTGACAATGATTTATTCCACAATGCAGGGTTGCTTTCCATCTCCAAACTCATAAACTCATACACATGAGCAAATAATTGGGTGTTGGCTTGTTAAAATGTTAAAATGTGCACAGAGTGAAAGATTGCACTACAGTTGTGTGTAACTGTGTATGCATTGAACATACTCACAGCTGCATTATAAGGTAGAGGTGATCTGAGCTTTCGTAGATGTCTTCAAGAGCCACTATGTTCTCATGCTTAATTCTGTAAAACAAAATTCACATAACAGATTCAGTACGGTCTGACAACTTAATGTTATTAAACTAGGAATATGATACAACGTTATGTTCATTTCTGAGGCATACAAAGTGTATCTGTTCATCTCTAAGGCAAATATTACATAATGTGCATTTATAAAAATTTGAAATTATATATTCAATGTTTTTTTTCCAATAATATTTATAATATAAAGTGGTAAATTTGTACAACAGTTCAAAATTGACAAATAAAAAAACAAAAAAAAAGTATATTTTTTTATTATTATTATTATTATTGAAATGAATGTCCTACAATTATATATATATATATATATATATATATATATATATATATATATATATATATATGCACATATGCAGGTTAATATACATAAACATAGCTTAACATAAACAAACAATTGTAAAAATCCCATTTAATGTCTAATCAAAACATTATTATTATAAATATAATAATAATAATAATAATAATAATAATAATAATAATAATAATAATAATAATTGTTATTATTATTATTATTATTATTATTATTATTATTTTGTTGTTGTTGTTGTTGTTATTAATATTATTATCATTGTTGTTGTTTTATTACTACTATTAATAATAATAATAATAATAATAATAATAATAATAATAATATTGATAATAATTATTATTATTATAAATAGTATTAAGAAAACCACATTGGAATTAAATTAATGTGCGTGTGAGTGTGTTTACACATGCATGTGTCTGCTGCAATTGAACACACATTGCCTCAGGGTTTGTTTAGGATGTGAATTTAAGCGAGGGGAACATTCCAGACCTCCTCATAAGCATATGAAGATTTCAGTGTTGCACATTTCCATAAGCCCATGAAAATATACAGTAAAACACCACCATGATTTATGCCATGAAGCTACATTCTCTACACACTTTTTGCATTCACATGTATCTTTACATGCATTTCAGTTTGTTAAGATAAATAAAACATTTTACTTTGATTATAATATATATATATATGCATAAAAAAATTACTAAATTCCTGTTGACACCTCCGATGCTGCTTAACAAACTGAAATACATGTAACAAACATGGATCTTGATTTAAATGGGACCTATTATGCAGAAATCACTTTTTTAAGGGGTTTAAACACAGTTGTGTGGCAACAGTCTGTGAATATAGCCAGCTTGTAATTGTAAAAATGTATTAATTCTATGTTTTATAATCACACTTGATTAAAACAGTGTTATGAAACACTTTGATTGACATTCTTCCTTTGTACGTGTCATCAGAAGGGAAAAGCCCCACCCACTAGTGATGATCTCTCTCTCTCATTAGCATAGGACATCAGCCTTGTTTTTGAATCTGCCAATATGCTGACAAAAGCATTTGTAACTCCGCCCTCTTTTGAAAAGAGCACAACCTCATTTGAATTTAAAGCGACAGTCACCAAAATGGCACAATTAGTATCAAAGCCTAAAAGGGGCAGTTTCAAAGAGTTATTAAACATTATTAGTGTGGTATTTTCAGCTGAAACTTCACATAAACACTCTAGTGACTTTTTTATATCGTGTTAAAAGGGGATTAATAGGTCCTCTTTAAGATAACTAAAATATTTCGATCTGATTTTTATACACACCGGCCACTTTATTAGGTACACCTTTCTAGTATCGAATTGGACCCAATTTTGCCTTCAGAGCTGCCTTTATCCTTTGTGGCATAGATTCAACAAGGCACTGGAAATATTCCTCAGAGATTTTGCTCCATATCGACATGATAGTATCACGCAGTTGCAGCAGATTTGTCTGCTGCATATCCATGATGAGAATCTCCCATTCCACCACATCCCAAAGATGCTCAATTGGATTCAGGTCTGGTGACTGTGGAGGACATTTGAGTCTTGACCATGTCTACATGCATAAATGCACTAAGCTGCTGCCATGTGATTGCCTGATTAGAAAGTTGTGTTAACCAGCAGTCGGACAGGTATACCTAATAAAGTGGCCGGTGATTGTATATTATAATACATTAAAACTACAAAAACAAAGTGAAATGCATATAAAAAAAAAAAATTCCCAAGCATTTTTACATGCATTTGGGTATAAGATAAACAAAACCTTTCAATTTGAATTGAAAATATTTATTATCATACGTCAAAACATATGACTATATTGCTTTACGAAGCATATAAACACACAACTAGTTTAACTGTTGACGTTTAACAGACGCTGCTTTTAAAGGTGCCTTTTTCATCCCTGTCATATAAGCCAGCAATATTATGATGTTTTGTTTTTCTTCCCTGCAGTTAACATCTCTCTCTCCCTCTCTCTTTCTCTCTCTCTCTCTCCGCTCTAGTCATGGTAACGCAGTCACGCTGACCGTGTGTATACACATTAGCATTGCATTTTAAGTGAATTCTGATCAGCGAGTCCAACTGGCACACGATAACAGGCCGCGCAATGACGCAAGTGAGCGGACAATAACAAGACGCTCATGCGCACATAATGGACGTCGGCAAGCACAGATAATACATTTGTTTTCCCCCCAGTCCGCCTCAGTTTCCTATAATTAACTCTCTCTTTGTTCATCCATATGTTCAGCAAAGGTTGATCCTCGCAGGTAAAGAAGCAATCATTTCAGATAAAAGGAAAAAAAAAAGCTTCAATTGCCAGAACAAAAGCCTGGTGTATTTTGTTTTTGTCAGTAATGCTCGTATTATGGATGAATCGGAGAGTGAGTGATTCATTGTGAGCCCGATTCATGATTCGGTGAACTGGGAGTCACCTATGATGCAGTGTATTAATATGTTAGCCAATGAATAAATTATGTTTTTTAAGGGTCGGCTCGTACTTTGACATATCGATTTTTGGCAAAACTGATTATAAAAAAGTTGTCTGCGGGGAGGATTACAACGCCATTCATCGGTTTAATATCCCTCTTTCATGCGCTCGCTGCTTTTTTTCTGTCTGTTTCTCTCTCTTTCAGCAGTGAGTGGGCAGAAGCTGTAGCACGACTCATTCGCTGCCTTCTGAAACCATCTTTTTTTTTCTTTTGATTCAAGAGGAGAAAGCATTAAGGGATGGAAGGAACAAAAAAACACACACACATTCTCTATTCCTGCATTTCACAAAAATATAACACCAATAAAAGAGGTCGTTTAAGAATAAAATAGGTAGGATCACTAGCAATTTACCTTTAAAAGCAGGGTCTCGCTTTGGAAATGGATTTGCTTTTAGATGCTTTTAAGCCGTAGATGATTCACTTCAGTGGAGTTCACATTATCTGATGTGGTGTGAGATTCGTTTTTATTAAAGGGGAAAAGATCTTATGAATATCTCAGTGGCTTCTCCTTGATAGACATACAATACTGTAGTTAGTTAGTTAGTTAGTTAGTTAGTTCTTAGTTAGTTAGTTAGTTAGTTAGTTAGTTAGTTAGTTAGTTAGTTAGTTAGTTAGTTAGTTAGTTAGTTAGTTAGTTAGTTAGTTAGTTAGTTCTTTGATAGTTAGCTAGTTAGTTAGCACTTCTTTTCGAATTTTGAGTTCCAGTTTTAATAAGGATTTTGTGGTGGTGTTTATAATCAACAACAAAACATGAGACATGAGATACTTTTTTTAAATTTGTTTGTTAGTTAGCTAGATAGTTTGTTTGTTTGTTTGTTCTAAGTTAGGTAGTTTTTAGCTAGTTATATGTTAGTTCTTAGTTAGCTAGCTAGTTATTAGTAGTTTGTTTCGAATTTTGAGTTTACCTGTTGTGATAACGATTTTGTGGTGCCGTTTATAATCAACAACGAAACATGAGACATGAGATCATTTTTGATTTGTTCGTTAGTTAGCTAGTTAGTTAGCTAGTTAGTTAGTTTTTAGTTACTAAGTTAGTTCTTAATTACTTAGTTCTTAGTTAGTTAGCTAGCTAGTTATTTAGTTAGAAGTTTGTTTCGAATTTCGAGTTTACTAGTTGTAATAACGATTTTGTGGTGGTGTCTATAGTAAACTACGTAACATGAAACAAAAGATACTTTTTTTGATTCGTTAGTAAGTTTGTTAGTTATTTAGTTAGCTAGCTAGTTATTTAGTTAGTAGTTAGTTCAAAATTTCAAGTTTACCAGTTGTAATAATGATTTTTAGTGGTGTTTATAATCAACTACGAAACATGAGACATGAAATCATTTTTGATTAGTTAGCTAGTTAGTTAGTTAGTTAGTTAGTTAGTTAGTTATTTTCGAATTTCGAGTTTACCAGTTGTAATAATGATTTTGTGGTGGTGTTTATAATCAACTACGAAACATGAGACATGAGATACTTTTTGATTAGTTAGTTAGTTAGTTAGTTAGTTAGTTAGTTAGTTAGTTAGTTAGTTAGTTAGTTAGTTAGTTAGTAGTTATTTTCGAATTTCAAGTTTACCAGTTGTAATAACGGTTTTGTGGTGGCGTTTATAATCAACTACAAAACCTGAGACATGAGATACTTTTTGATTAATTAGTTAGTTAGTTAGTTATTAGTTCCTTTCGAATTTCAAGTTTACCAGTTGTAATAACGATTTTGTGGTGGCGTTTATAACCATATAAAACTCATCTTTTGTTCAAAATCTGTCCAATGTTGTTTCTGCTTTTTGCTTCTGCCCAATGACAAGCAATGTTGTGCACATAAGCCCCGCCCATCCTCAAACCTCATTGGTCCATAATCCTGCTCTAAATCTTGTTTGGTTGCTTAGACTATCAGTACTGTTTCACTGAACGTGTAATGCACTGAATTTTTTAAGTGGTTGTAAACTAGTTATGTTGGCTGAATTTAAGCAAACAAATTAAATTGATCATTAAAAATGCGTTTGTTTATATTCAGCTCATATAAATTTTTTGCAACCACTTACCTTTTCTTTTTGAATAAATTTTAAGGGAAACAAACATGAAACAATTAAGTCGTCATCCCCCCCCCAAAAAACAGGAATTGTGTTATTTCAACTCTTTTTAAATAAGTAGTTTGAACAAGCAGCGAAAGTATTTTTCTGGGTGTGCATAGTGCTTGATTAGAACTCAGTTCCGTCTCGTGATCTGTGGCTCAGAGCAGTAAAACGTTCCCTCTGGGTTATCAAGTCCCATGTCAGGACAAATTGAATTGACTTAAGTATTTAAACATAACATTAGTCAGGCAGCCGGCATCATTCCGAGGCATGCTGGGAGTGTACGTTAGCGATTCTCCGCGGGTATTATTATTATTAAACTATAACCTACAAAGGCATCTCATTATCTCATTTGGAAATATCTCCGTCTCTCTCTCTCTCTATACATAGTTCTGTCATATACATGCGCAGGCGGATCATGAACATGCTCTGGTTGACGATCTAATTACAGGCCTGTGGCATCACCCTGGAGATGGCAGACGGGCTGTCAATCATTGGTTGCTATGATATGAGACGAGGGAGACTGCGAGTTGAAGGACAAAACTGTGTGCCCGATCTCCAGGGTGCCTTTGCCACGACAACAGCAGTCCATGTCAGAATCACACGCAGCCTTTTCTGATGAGTCTCAAGGGAACGCAAGCCATATGTCAGACACACTGAACACACCTGCTTTCATTTGCTCGTGCTAGCGGAAATAAATACCATAGACCTGGCAAAATACCATTGACTGGCATTGACCCCCCCCCCCCCCCCCCCCCCCATCTATTTAGATATTTTTCAAAATAGTATTCAACTTAAAGTGAAATTTAAAGGCTTAACTAGGCTACTTAGGCAAGCTAGGGTCATAGTATAATGATGGTTTGTTCTGTAGACCTTAAAATAGTGTTTAAAAAAATTAAAAACTGCTTTTATTCTAGCCGAAATAAATCAAATAAGACTTTCTCCAGAAGAACAAATATTATAGGAAATACTGTGAAAAATGCCTTGCTCTGTTAAACATCATTTGGGAAATATTTGAAAAAGAAAAGTCACAGAAGGGTTAATAATTTAGACTTCATCTGTATTTTTTAATACTGCACATATTTGCATACTATCCTTTCCATCTAATAGAGAGCATAGGCTTGTTTTTCACTGTGTGCACAGTCCAAGCCTGCATCCACACTCATGGACACGGTCTGCTCGCGTGCGGCTTCGTGGAGCGAGAACATCTGCGGGAGCTTCCCTGCTGTAATTGGACGAGGGCACTGAAGTTACCACAGTAACTGCAGGTCAAACCTCAGGCAAACAAGCTGGCAAACTGAGAGAATGAGTGTGGATGCTGTTGCCATGGGTACAGGTGTGAGGTGTGGGCAAAGGAGCTCACTTGCGCAGAACGGCGATCTCATTCTCGATGCTGCTCTCCTTCCCCTTCAGAGCTTTTTTAGGGATGCATTTCACAGCGTACATCTTTCCCGTGGACCGCTCCTCCGCCAGGACCACCTCTGAGAACGCACCC